AAAAAAATTCTTCACTTCCGCTTTGAACTGCTTCTTGAGATGAATTAAAGACAACTTCCGGATATCAAAGAAAAAAATTGTTAAACTTCTAATGATAATAACTTCAAAGAAGGCTTGATTTTAAACGTAACTGTTAGAATAATCGAAAATTAGAAAAAGATAGAAGAATGATTTGGATGACGGAGGAAATGCCTTGAGGCAACGACAGCTCTGTTTGTTTCTCTCTGTTTACTCGCGTTTCTGCGACTTTCCCGGTTGTTTTTTGCTTCAACTGGTTCTCTGCTAAACTCTTACTTTTTATTTTCAAAAATCAAACTTTCTTAACATCACAGCGCACTTTGGAGTTCCCGCGTAACACAAAGCGGAGTTTGACCTTCGACGAATACAACTCACATCCCTATTTAAACCGATTCCTAATTTTCTGAAAGCTGGGAAAATTTCTTGAGTAAGCCGAGAGGAAGCAGGTGAAAAGTGAGGAAAAAAGAACGAAACTGCCGAACATGGAATTTTCTCAACCCTACGCTACTTCTCAGACGCCGTCTATTGATCTGTGCTCTCTCCACGGCTCTCTCTTTAATTTTGGCCCCATTCTCTTCGAAAAGATCTCACAACTAGAGCATTTTTTGGCTTCAAGAAGCCTCTTGTAAAATTTTAAGCCTCGGAATTGAAGCCATTAAGCGTCGTTTTTTTAAAAAAAGTATTCATAAAAAGCAACGTTTTTTTGAGCGGTGTATGTTCTCGCAACAATTCCTTCATCGATCTGCTTGCTCACTAAGAGGGTGGAAATGTATTATTAGGAATATGAAAACAAGTCTTCAAAGTTTGAATTTTAGAGATTTCGTGGAAATAAAATTAAAATTGATTTAGTTTGTGTTAGCAGTATCTTAACTGGACCAAAGGTTTTTTTTCTCGCCAGAGGGCTCCGAAATCGATTTGCCACTGCATTCGGCAGTCCCACTGTCCTCTCGTTAACCTGTTTTTGGTTGACGAGTTGCCTCGGTCTGTTTTTTTTCGGTTGAAACTTTGAGTCAAATTTTTGCGTCGCTGGCTACGAAATACTTGAACTTGTCGAACGCTCTTGAATATTGTACCATTCCCGTTCGTCGCTTTGATAATAAGCCTCTTATTTTCTCAGTTTCACTATCGTTCTTTGGTACAGCACCTCGTTCCTAAGACGTTCTCTCTTCTGTCTCAAAGCCAATACTTTTGATCAAAATCGTTTTTGAACTATGTACAGTTTCTATTTCAGTGCAAAAACATTGAATTTTATGAACCGGAATATAAATAGCTTCAGTTTTCGCTGCTTGATGAGTTCAGAGCAAAAAATGTGTTTCCTTTTGAAAATAACGATTTGCTCTTCCTTCATTTATCAGTTCGTTAGAAGTTAATTGTGCAAAAAAGTGGAGATACGAGTAGCAGCAGAAAAAGCGACTGTTATTCCACGTGTATCGCCTCATTACAAACTCACCTCCCCAGAACTGCGGCGACGGACGGCAGATGCTGTCGCACGAAGAGGTGCCGCATCTTCTGAAGCGGTCGCACGTCGTCTCCGGCTATCGTCCTCTCCACCAGCCGCACCACTTCTACCTTCGTTCCGCCTTCGAACCTCACAACGAAGTGGTCAGTCTTGACCATTTGCATTGGCTTGTCCAAGCGAGAGTTCAGCTGAATGTGTGGACACATTTTTTGCCTGCGGTGGCGCTCGTCGTCTTCTATTTACTGCCGGAGATGATGTCGGAGGCTCCTCGACCACCTGTCCTCGTTCTTCACTCTGGCATCGCCTTCCTTCTGCTTTGTTCTTCTTTCGCCCACTTGCTGGTTCGTTCATTGATAATTGACCTACTTTGAAAAGATGAACTCGGTTACGAGAATATATGTGTCTAGGTTTTTCTCTAATACTGTTCAAACAAAATAGATTCCATCTTTCCAGCACTCTCGTTCGCCTCTTGACCATATCTTTTGGTTTCTGATAGACTTTTCCGGCATCGCCCTTTTTGGCGTCTCGATTGGCCTTCAGAGGTTTAGTTGCAGCGACGATATGGGCTTTTTCATGCGTATCGTGAGTTTTTAGTGGATATGTGAAAAAAACGAGTTATATTAAGAAAACCAGTTCTCAAAACTTTTTCTCATTTTCATTATATGGGAAGGTATTTCTCACTTTTTTATGATTATGAAATCATTGAAAAACAAAAGCGAAATCCCACTTTCAGTACGGACTGAGATTTTTTCAGACGTACCTGCCGTTGCTTCTACTGGTTGTGCTGGGCTTGCAGTACTTCTCCACCTGCTACCTTTTCGTTTTCAAGCCTACCTGGGAGCGGAGACTCGAGCTCCGAATGGCCTCCTGTTTCTTCCTCGCCTGTTGGCTCTACATCCCTCTCTACAGCCGTTATACTGTAAGCCTCTCGTAGAAGAGCGCTTCGAAAACCTTGAAGTTGCAGGGAGCGACCGACGACGAAGCGGACACGCTGAGACTGCACTCCAGGGCGTTCCAATGGCTTCTCGTCAGCGGAGTTTTCATGGGAGCTCAAGTTCCTGAGCGTTTTGCTCCTGGCGTTTTTGATATTGTCGGCTACGGACATCAGGTTAAAATTGAAGTTCAATCAAAAATCGCTTATTGCATTCATGGCAAAGGAAAAATCAGCCTTCGCTTCGACTCACAGATATTTTTTCAATCTAAAATAAATGTTATTAGCGAAATTAAGAAAATAGAGAGACGTAATCTCATTAAAGGCATGAATGATTTTTGGACATTTGATTATTTTATCAAATTATAGTGAATGAGGACGAAGTTTTTGTAAAGCGCAACCTCCAGGGATCCTCTGAAATTTTCAGCGATAACGCAGGATTATTTAAAGGCATAGGGGCAGTAAAAATGGGGTTTCAGGTGAGAGCAGTATCTTATACAGTTTTTTTCATTGCGAATCGAATGGTGTACTCAAAACAATTACAGATGTGACAACTTTAGAAGAAAAACGCGGTTTTACTTTCCCGCCTTTAATTTTGAAAAAAAGCTTTTGGATCGGCCTACGGACAACTGTTTACAGTAGCCGTGCACGCGATGTTGCGGACGTCTCATTTGACTCTCATTTTGTGAGAAATAACCGGATTTCTGCTTCAAATTAAAGATTTTTTCTCTGAAAAATCGATTAAGGAAACAGAAAACACACATTGATAATAAAGAAAACACAAAATATCGCAATCCCAATCGAAACCTGTGTAAAATCATCATTTTTCACCAGAGAAGCATTTTGCGAACAAAGTTTGCAAATTATACATGAATAAAAAGCTTTTGTGACGAAAAGAACTTTGGTGACAACAGAAAAAATTGAAAATTGAAAGAAACGAAGAAAAAAGCGAATATCCGGAAGATGGCGAAGCCTGTTGTCCATAGAGCAACTTTATTGCGAAGCGCCCTTTTTGGCGGGAACTCAAGCTTTCATTTCTCCGACGTTGAATTATTTTTTTCTTCAAAACTAGGAATTTCTGTACGTTTCCAAGTTCACCGTTCGATTCGCAATGAAAAAGCTCTACAAAAATACTGCTTTGAACTGAAACACCGTATTTTACTGCCCCTATGCCTTTAAAATAAAACTATAACCAAAACGAAAAATCGAAAAAAAAACGTTCAAAAAAGAAAAGAAAAAGAAAAGAGGAATGAGAGGAAATGAAAAGTTAAAACATCTATCTGCGGCTAGAGATGTGCCAGAACATGTAGAGCCAGTCCGAAAACTATTTCCATATCGACGCTTCCAGCTGTTCCACCTGTGCATAAATATGGTGGCCTGGAACCTGGTGGAGGCGGCGGAACGCGACTGCAAGACGGTCGACGACGGCTGGCGAGCTCCCGCCAACGTTGCCATCGGAGTTTCTTTCGGCCTCACCTTCGTCGCCATCGTCGCCAATATGGTGTTCATGATGCGTCGTGCCATCAAAAACAAGTACGAATAGCCTCTTAACTCGAACTCAAGTCTTTTTCGAAGAAATCGAAAAGAAATTCCAAAAACCTTCGTGCATAATGTTAGAAGAGTTGAATATATTCTTTAACTCGAGTTACAATTTTCGCTAATGGAAAAAAAAATGAGAAGAAATATGGGACACCGCCAACCATATTTTTGAAAAAATATTTGTTAGCACTGTTTATCTTTTTTTCAATATAAATTTATTCGATTGAAAAAAATCACAGAAAGGCGCAAGAAATGAGTTCATTACAGTCTCGCTCAATAATGATGATAGGTTTATTGACTGCATACTGTTAGAAAATAAGAATTGAAATAGTTCAGAATAAGCTTCCAGGAATCTTATCTAACCGGTATCACTCCTTCATTATTTAAGTCTACTATAGTTATTCCTGTGCATAAAAAGGTAGTCTTTCTGATCCAAATAACTTTCGCCCCATATCTCTCACTCATCCAGTTTCTCGTGTATTTGAACGCATCATTACTCAAAATGATAAGATCTCGTTTTTTTCTGAAAAAGTTCTCTCAATTCCACCTCGGCTTTTCTCAATCGTAGGTCATGCAAACTTTCTCTAATCAGCTCCCTTTCCTCCATTCAAAAATCCTTGGCATCTAATCTTCCTATCGATGCTGTTTATTTCGATTTTTTTCCAAAGCCTTCGATAAAGTAGATCATAACCTTTTTACGCCTAAAGATGTCCAATTTCGGCTTTAATGATACTCTCTGTCGCTGGTTCTCCAATTTTTTATCTAACCGTTCCTCCATTGTAAAAGTTAACAACTCGTTTTCTAACAATTCTTTTTCTAATCCTTCGGGTGTACTTCAAGGGACGGTCAGCGGCCCCCTTCTCTTTCTCGTTTTCATCAATGATATTGAAAATTTTATTGATCCTCAATCCTCGATCTCTATCTTTGCTGATGACCTCAAGGTTTATAGCTCTTGCCCTGATTCGCTTCAAAGAAGCATAAATGGTATTTTTTCCAATGGTCAGTACTTTGGTCTCTTCCACTTGCTGTTGAAAAGACTTTTTTTCTCTTCACTTTGGCTCTAACAATCCTCAAACGGTCTATTTTTCTTGATCAATTTCAAATCCCACAAAGATCAATTGTTCGTGATCTAGGCCTTCAAATTGATGAAAAGCTCTCTTTCAAAGACCATATTTCTCTGCCTTTGCTACATTACGGTCTAATCAAATACTAAATACCTTTTAAGTTTTTTCTTCCCCCTGCACTACCTCAGAATGTTTCAAACCTACGTGACGCCTATTCTCGAATATTGTAGTGAAATCTTTTCTCCCTCTATCTCGTCTGAGGAATGCTTCAAACTCGAGTCTTCTCTACGCCAATTCAGTAGAAAAGTTTTTATAAGATGCAATGTTCGCTTCAGTTCTTATTCTGATCGTCTCAGCCAATTTGGCTTTTTAAACCTCTCTTTGTACTGTCGTTGTATTAACGACATTATTTCTCTTCATAAAATAATTTGCGGCTCTGACCATTTTCTCAATCGCAATGACTTCTTCACTATTTCTCCTTTACAGAGGAATCCACTTCGACTTCGCACTTCCGGTCAGTTCTCTAAAGATTTTTTTTCCAAAACTATTCCATTATGGAATAAACTTACCTCTAGAATAAATTTTAACGTCTCTACGGATGCACTACGGGTTAAACTTAATGATCTCCCTAACTCTGCCTTTTTTCGAATCCATTCCTTCCCGTTTGCTCTGACTTCCTTTTCTATCCCCGGGTCATAGTCTACTCGTTAGGGTGGACTAATTCCCTGTTTTGGTTATTCTGCTGCTTTCGTATTCTGAACTATTTTATTTATTATTTTCTAACAGTATGCAGTGAATAAACCTATTATTATTATT